GGAGGCGGCAGTACTGTAGGTACCTCTCCTGCAGCTGCTGGGAGGAGAGGGCTCCTCCAGGTGTAGCACGCTCAGGATCAGCACCTCCAGACACAGCACCCCCAGACGTAGCACCCCCAGGCTCAGCACCTCGAGACTCCGCACCCCCAGGCTCCGCACCCCCAGACTCAGCACGGTCAGGCTCAGCACCCCCAGGCTCAGCACCTCCAGACGCAGCACCCCCAGACGCAGCACCTCCAGACTCCGCACTCCCAGGCTCAGCACCTCCAGGCTCCGCACCCCCAGGCTCAGCACCCCCAGACTCCTCACGGGCAGGCTCAGTACCCCCAGCAGGACGAGAGTCAACAGCTACCTCGACAGGCTCAACCGGGTCTACCTGGGACACACCTGAGGGAGCGGCACCCTGAGGGGGGAGGGGGTCTGGTACCTCAGCACCTGGAGCGAGGAAGAGAGGCGGGGGGGGGAGCGGGGCAGTGCGGTAGGGGAAGAGGCGGTAGTAGGGGACGGACTCGTCAAAAGTGACGTCCTGAGAGGCAAGGACACGACGCGAGGTGGCGTGGTAGAACTGCCAACCAGGCGCGTCCGGGACAAAGCCAAGGAAGACACAGGGGACAGCGCGACGGGAGAGCTTGTCCGCGGACGTGTCGCGAACAAAAGCTCGAGATCCCCAGACCCGAAAACGCGACGCATCGCCAGCCTCTCCCGTCCAACGCAGTGTCGGAGAAGTCTCCGGTAAGGAGACACGGGGCCAGAGGTTGAGCTGATGCGCAGCGTATCGGACTGCAAACGGCCACAGAAAGTGGGGGGCAGCCGCATGAACCAAGGAGGTACGAGCGACCTCCATGACCAAGCCAATGCGGCGCTCAGCAACCCCATTCAGCTGTGGAGAGGCCGGAAGTGTGAACGACTGCTCAATGCCCTCCTGCTGACAGAAGGCCTCCAAGAGGCCAGAGGAAAACTCCCCACCTCTGTCAGAGTGCAGACGCAGGACAGGGAAGTCGGAGCGGAAACGCTCACTGAGCTGGAGACGAGATATGCGGATCCAAGGGATCAAGACATCAGGGACGTCACCCTTGGCGCGCAAGGGGAAGACCGTGGTGTAGCGCGAGAAGTCGTCAACAACAATCAGGAAGTACCTCTCCTGACCCTGACCACGGACGCGGGCTGGGCCCCACACGTCCATGTGGAGCGTCTGCAAAGGAGCAGTCGTCGGGGGGAAGGAGGAGGAGTGAGGAGCGGCGCGCTGCCGCCCCTCGACACAGGGAAGACAGGGAGGAGCAGGCGAGGGTGGGAGGGGAGGGAGAACCCTGGGAAGACCAGCAACAAGGTCCCGTTTGTGCATGGCCCGAAGGCGCTGCACAGACGGGTGACCAAGGCGGTGGTGCCAGAGGACAGTCTCATGCGCCAGAGAGCGACACGAGCAGGGGGCGGACAGCTGACCTGACGCAGACGCAGACGCAGACGCGGACGCAGCGACCTGAGGGGACTCAGTGGTCAGTGTGTACAGGTCCGACCCCGGCTGCCGAGTGAAGGTAGCCAGGTGACGGCCCGTCCGAGCACACGTGCAGTGGGTCACGCGCTCGTAAGCAGGGGTGAACTGGTGGACACCCCTGTCCTGGAGCGCACTACCCGCCACCAAGTTCGTAGAGAACGAGGGGAGGTAGAGACCTGACAGTGTGCCTGACGGGACCGCAGGACAAGGAAGGACAGTGGAGGAGGTCGCAACGACCGGACCCCCAGAGGGGTCAGCGAGGGAGACAGCAACTGGCCGAGCGAGTGGCTCAAGGACAGTGCGGTCACGAAAGAAACAGCGAGAAGCACCTGAGTCCAGTGTGAAGGTGTGCAGTGCTGCAGTCGACTCAGTACCAGCGGGCACGGACGCACTAGCACCTAGAGCAGCAGCCTCACCATCACCTGAGGTGGCAGACACGCGAGCACCTGCAGTGGCGGTCTCACTAGCACCTAGAGCGGCAGCCTCACTCACACTACACGGCAGCTGCACCGGTCCGCGCCCAGAAGCTCCCGAACGACGCACTCCAGAGTGACTACCACGACCACCACCCCGAGAGCCCAAACTCGCGTACCACTCACGAGCCCGCTGGAGCGTAAGAGGACACTGCTGCTGCACCTGTCCACTACCAGATGCTCCCGAACAACGCACGCCAGAGCGACTACCACTACGGCCACCCCGACAGCCCAAACTGGCGTACCACTCACGGGCCCGCTGGAGCGTAAGAGGACACTGCTGCTGCACCTGTCCACTACCAGATGCTCCCGAACAACGCACTCCAGAGCGACGACCACGACGGCCACCCCGACAGCCCCAACTAGCGTACCACGCACGCGCACGAAGCAGCTGGGGCGAAGGAGGGCACGGCAGCTGCACCTGTCCACTACCAGAAGCTCCCGACCGACCCACTCCAGAGCGACCACCACTACGGCCACCCCGACAGCCCCAACTAGCGTACCACTCACGCGCACGAAGCTGCTGGGGCGTGAGGGACTCACGCGCACGGCCCTGGAGCTGCATCTGGCCACGCCAGGAGCAGCAGTAGTAGCAGTAGCGGCAGCAACAGTAGTAACAGCAGGAGCTGTGGCAGTGGGAGTAGAAAAGGCAGTAGCAGCAGTAGCAGCGGTAGCAGTGCTGGGCAATGCTCACCAGTGGTCGGCGCGGCAGGCGCAAGACGGTGGCGACAGCGGGGCCGCTACAACTGCAGGGCTGGGCCGGGCCGCAGCAGGGAGCTCCGCGGCAGCTGCTGCAGGGCGAGGCCGGGCCGCGACGGCAGCTGCTCCAGGTGCCAGGGGCGGCTGCTGCAGTGGCGGCGGCTCCAGGGGCCAGGGGCGGCTGCTGCAGGTGCGGGCTGCTCCAGGGGGGGCTGCTGCAGTGGCGGGCGGCTCCAGGGGCTGCTACTGCAGTGGCGGGCGGCTCCAGGGGCTGCTGCTGCAGTGGCGGCTGCTCCAGGGGCTGCTGCTGCAGTGGCGGCTGCTCCAGGGGCGAGAGGCGGATTAGGTCAGGGCGACGCGGCGGGCAGGTGGCGACGCCGCGGGCAGGGCGACGCGGCGGGTAGGTGGCGACGCCGCGAGCAGGGCGACGCGGCGGGCAGGTGGCGACGCCGCGGGCAGGTCGACGCGGCGGGCAGGTGGCGACGCCGCGGGCAGGTCGACGCGGCGGGCAGGTGGCGACGCCGCGGGCAGGGCGACGCGGCGGGCAGGTGGCGACGCCGCGGGCAGGTCGACGCGACGAGGGCAGGCGACGACGCCGCGGGCAGGCGACGACGTCGCGGGCAGGCGACGACGCCGCGGGCAGGCGACGACGCCGCGGGCTGGCGACGACGCCGCGGAAAGCGGGCCGCGCGCGGGTGGCTAGCAGGCCGTGCGTGCGCGGTAGGGAGAGGCGCACGAGGGCGCAAGAGCGCACGAGGGCGCGCGGTAGGGAGAGGCGCACGAGGGCGCGAGGGCGCACGAGGGCGCGCGGTAGTAAGAGGCGCACGAGGGCGCGAGGGCGCACGAGGGCGCGCGGTAGTAAGAGGCGCACGAGGGCGCGAGGGCGCACGAGGGCGCGCGGTAGTAAGAGGCGCACGAGGGCGCGAGGGCGCACGAGGGCGCACGGTAGGTAGGTAGGTAGGTAGCGGTGGGCCCTAAAACGGTCCTAGTGAAGGACCTGCTCTGATACCATGTCAGAATGAACGGACAGGAATGATTGAACTAACAGTGAAATCAGTACAAGTACCTAACCCTAGAATTGTGTACCCCCTATAGGCTAACCCACTGTAGCCTAAACAAACACAACATATATAATGTTTGACATGACAGGCTCATCTTCTACGACTTCCTTCCCCTTATCTTCAGACATTTGAGGAACAGAGGCAGCAGCAAAACGCTTCTGCACCGGAGGAGCACGTTCCTTTGGAGGACCATGTGGCATGGTGCTATGATGAAGACGTTCCAGCAGGTGACAATGTGTAAAGGCCAGAAATGCCTGAGAAGCTGGACAACTGAGCCCAGAGTAATATAGCTGCAGTGTTCCTTGATCGGATCAGAACTCCTGGTGTAGATGATGCGTTGTTGCTGACTGAACCAATGGATGCTTGTCAGTAGCCTTGATAGTGTCTCGTAATATAGGTAACCAATCATGATGATGAAAGCCGGACTCTTGATAAAAGCAGCGAGATAAAACCAGGAATCCAGATGAGGAAGCCTTGAGATTGCACGGATAAAAGAACCTGAACAGCAGATCCCGAGAAACATCCGGTACGATGTCAGCCTGATAGACATTAGAAGTGTACCTAACGAATCGCCGCGATAAGGCGAGTTCGAAGCTGTGGTTCTTAAAGCCAACTGGTAACTCTGCTTCACGGAATGCTGGATTGAAGATCCTGAAGAAATCCATAGCGGCGAGCTCAAGGTTGGTCATTCCTAGCGTGTGCGGAACCCGTCGCATTGGTTGTACGGTAATCGTTCTGGTGCGCTTATAGGCAGGGGCCGATTGTAAGCCCACCCTAATTTTGGGTCATCTTCGTATAAGCGCACCTAACGAGTTATTGCTCAAATATGTGGCTAGTGAGTTCGCCACTAACGCATCAGGAGCATTCGTCGCTAACGTGCCTGGCGAGATCTTCCCTGGCCCCGCTGTGCGAAATTGCCACAGGCGTGCACGTGTTAGCAGCATTTCAGCACGTGATGGCAGGGATTCTTGCAAGGGTGGCACATTTTCGGTAAATTTCGTAGCAGACACTTTTTTGGTAGACTCGATCGAAACCGCAAGGCTCAGATATACATTTCTATGTATGAAAATCATAATTCTCTTAGTACGATTTATTTAGCCCATGGGGTTATAAATTTTCCACATTATAAGCCCATCCACCATTTTCCCGGTTTTTTTATACCCCCACCTGGGGGTATATTAGAAGCATAACGGTAATGGCATAATTTGACATTCTGTTGTAACAATCTAGTTATTGAAGTATTCCCCACGCACTCTATTGTACAACTCATGACAG